TAGACTAGATGCTTGGAGCCGAGCCGTGTTTCTCTGATCGCATTTGCTCACAAAACCTGCACTTAGAAAAGAGGCTCCTTTACTGTCGAGAGAACTTGCTCTTAAAACCATTACAAAAAAATTACCAAATAAATATCTTGGTAATACTGCCTCCCTCAGAGCTGGATCAGGAGAGAGAAACCACATGGCAATTGGCACTGGTGCGTACTAACTTGTTTCAGTCCTATCTGACTCTTTGCAACCCTATGGATTTTAGCCCACTGGGCTCCTCTGTCCATGAGATTCTCCAGGCAAGTATACTGGAGTGGGCTGCCATGCCCTTCTCCAGGGGATCTTCAATCCAGGGATCAAACCTAAGTCTCTTATGTCTCCAGAACTGGCAGGTGGGTTCTTTACCATTAGCGCCACCTGGCACCGGAAAGCTTGATACAGAGACGGGGATGGCCTACCAAGGAACTGAAGACGCAAATGTAGGGGCGCCTGGTTAGCAGACCTCTGCGGGGGCAGGGGAGAGGAGGTGCACCCTTGAAAGGGGCAGGTCAGGCTCATGCACTGCCTGGGCGCATTATACATGGTAACCGAGCAACCCTGAATCCCAGGTGATGGGGCAGCTGCATCCTCTCTGGGGTTTCAAACCCTGTGGTCCAGCCGGATAGACCAGCAGACCCCTGTGGGATGCAGCAGTGGGCCCTGCCCTCTCCTCTTGGGGCAGGGGGTCCTCTCCACCCCATTATACCCTCTGAACTGGTCTCTGGGTGTCACTGGCTCCCAGGCCACTCACAGAGGGGCAAGACCCCTCGGGTTCCTCCTTCAGGGCCCACTCACTCTAGGGGCCCTGAGCTTACTGAGAGTCACAGGGGAGGGGCCTGTCTTGCAGTGAGGTCGGGGGTGGGAGGGTGGGGGTTTCATGATCATCCAGTCCCTGTGTTTCCCAGAGGACCTGGCACAGTCCCAGGTCTGTCCCACATCTGCTCTGTCTCCCATCTGGTGGCTGGCGGGGTGGGGAGAGTATCCTCAGGGGTCCTGCGGGCCTGCTACAGAAGGAGGAGCCTGATGGCCTTGCCTTCCCAGTGAGGAAGTCACCTGCTGAGAGTGGCGGGGCTGCAAGGAGGAGCCAGACAAGGCCGCCAGGCATGATGACTACTCTGGGACTGACTTGGCCATCTGGTGTCTCTACCATCTTCAATTCCTCCATCGCCCAGGGCCTGTGGATCTCAGCACAGAGAAGCTCCTTTGGCGTCAGTCCTCACCTCTGATCTGAGAACAAGGTGCTATTCTTCTCAGTTTCAGATGGAAAATTCGAGGCTCCCTAAGTGTCATACGTTGAGGAGACAATGGAGCTTGGCTGGACCTATGTCTGTTCATGTCCCATACTTCCCTGCTCTGAGACCCAGATCAGAGCTGCTGATCTGGGCCACCATGTGGGGAGGGGGCCAGGCCAGCAGTGTCGAATGGAGGGGCCAACATCAGGACTTGGACCAGATTTGTCATTTCAAGGGGAAGTTTTCAAGCTTGGGGCAAATTCCTGTAAGAGCTGATTTGACCTGTTCTCAAGGATGTGTGAGTTTAACCAAGGGCATCTGGGACAACAGGGGAGCAAGAGGAGGCTGGCGGAGACCCCAGATGTGTTTCCAGATCCAAGGAGCAACTCTGGGATTCCATGGTTGGCAATGGAGAGTTGCATTGCAGGGAGGCCACCTTCCAGGGCTGAGGCAGCCCTGGGAGGAGCTAGAGGAGCCCTTCTTTGGATGCCCGCTGACCACCTGGGCTGAGTCCCACGCTGTTTGGGATTCTGAGGTAGAGGAGAGGTGCCAGAGAAGAAGGAGGGGCAGACAGTTAGCGGGGATTTCAGAGACTGGGCTGCGGCTTGGCAGAAAGGACCCCGACTGCCCCTGAGGAGGGGCTGGAGGACAGGGGAGGACAGAGGTGGAGGGCCAGGCTGAAGAGGTGGCCTGGAGGATGAGCTGGGGGCCAGGCAGGTGTGAAGTCCGCTCTGTGGGCAGGGTGATTGACTCTTCCAAAAGCGAAGCCTGTGAGCTCAGGGAAGGAGCCAGATAGCAACACAGCCCCTGGGCCTGTCCTGTCCTCTCTGCCCTGAGGCCTACGGGCCGCCACTGGCCTTCCAGACCTCGTCAGCTTGGCCCAGAGGAGCTGGCTGTCTTATGAGTGGGGGCTTCTGTCCTTTCAGGAATCCAGGCTACATCTTGTCCTCCCTTTAAGGGCAGATTGCTTGTGGATCAAACAGCATCATCCTCGGGCAGCCCCCCGGGTCGGTCAGCATCCATTGTCATGAGCACTGACGCTCACCCACCTGCCCAGGGTGTCCCATTACCCAGCCTCCACTGCCCCACGTTCCCTTCTCAAGCTCATCTTTTCACACGGACAGCCCCTCCTGTCTGCCTGGGAAGGCCCCACGCTCACACTCCTGTTCCCAGACCTAGTGGTATACACAGCACACTCATGTCCTTCTTGCTAACCTGGGGTGATCGGCTCTGACTCATCCAGGACCTCGGGGAGCCTGGGGTGATCAGCTCTGACTCATCCAGAACCTCGGGGAGCCAGAGGGATGTCGGGGTGAGCCCTCACCCCAGGGCCGCCCACGTGGCACCTCCTTGTCCAACAGGCAGCAGCTTCGAATAGCAATGAGCCACAGTCTCAAGTCCTAGCCCTGGAACTTCCACAATGTCTCTTCTTCTGCCGTCCAGAGGCCACAGCAACCACTAACGCCAGTGGATTGGATGGTGGGGGGCAGTCTAGAGTCTCTGATGACCTTTGAACTATCTCTCTGGAGTGGGGAGGACCAGCTGACTGGGGGCAGAGGAGACAGTTCTCCATTGGGGTGGGAGTGTGGGGGATGAGGGGGTGGAGGAGGCCAATGGGAAGAAGCAGCAGGGCGGGGCCACAGCAGAAAGGCCCCTCTGGGCCTCCCCCAACCCCCTTCTCACTACCTGCGTGAAACCCCCTCTGCCCCAGCAGACACATGCTCTGTCAGGGCCATGGCACGGGGCACAGGGAGCAGAAGCCAGGGCCCTGTCTCTCATGGATTCCCTCTAATGGGAACTGTGAGCCTCGGGAGTTTGCCGTGGGGCACAGAGAAGCTCCATGGGGGTGATGTGCGAGGTCCTGAGTCTGCAGGATGGGGGAGGGAAGGTCATACTAGACGGGGAAGCAGCTTCATCCAGGGCCCTGCCTCCCAGGATGCTGGGCAAGTAAGTACTCATCAGCAAGTCACAGCCCCAGGCTGGAATGGGCTTCAGGGTACTGTCTGGTCTGTCCCCTATCTGATGACCTGTCGCTGTTCCAGCCTGCTAGCTGTGTGCAGTTGCCTGCGGGGTCTGACCTAGCCTCTCCTGGGGAGTGGTGTTGCCCTCAGTGAGCCTGCAGTCTCCTGGGGACACTGGTGGGCACTGGGACTGCGCTCTTGGCTCGTCTCCCTTGGTGCGGGGCATCTGAGAAGCGGTGGCTGGCAGGAAGCACTGAGCTGAGGGCTAGCCCCTACATCTATGTCCCCCACCACCCTGGGCAGAAGGCAAGCAGGAAGAGTGGTCAATTTTAACTAGCTTTTAAGTCTAGCTTTAAGTCTCCCTGGAAATAATTCCGGTTCTAATCAGAACAAGCACAGTAAACTTTGGTCCCGTATTAAGGGGGCTTTGTAATGCCGGAAAGGTCAGTTAGGCTCCTCTGTTTTGGATGCTTGCACTAGAATCCTCCAGCACCATCTGTCTTCAGGGCAGGCTTATTACCTGCCTCTTACTGCTCAGAGGGCAGAAGTCTTGTCCAGGTGGGGAGCCCACTTGCTCCATTCCTCTGACGTGGGAAAGGCACAGGCTAAGAGTAATTAATCCCTAGGCCTTCCTAGTCCTGCTTTCCTGAGCCCTCAGATGAGGCACTGCTGGTGGGGGGTGGTGGACTATGGGCCTCAAAGGGCAGGGGGTCTCTGTCAGTCACAATATGACCAGGTGTCCATGGGGTCAGGGTCTGTGCTAGGAGCTGAGGGGGACAGAGGTGACCAAACCAAGGGAGGTAGGGAGGTGATCTGAGGTTGAAGTACCCTGAGGCCCTCGCTCCTTCCCCTGGGAGCCCATGACACTTCACGAAGCAGGCCCTGAGGGGTACTCAGTCACTCTCTTGGCCCTCATTTTGTCCCCTGAGGCCTCCAGAGGGTCTGAGGACTTGGTTCTAGCTGTGGGCAGTGGGGGGTGTGTGTCAGTGTAGATGTGTGCATGCCTCCCTCTCTCTGGTCCAGAGGGGTGCAAAGGTTCTTGGCAGAGGGAAGCCCCAGGAAGGTATCCTAGGGCCTGAGGCCCATAAGAACTTGGGGATCCACCCTGAAGTCCCCACCTCGCACCCCCTTGCAGAGATGCCTCCACTCACGGCCAACTTTCTCCCCATGGGGCTGCCCCCTGCACCCACTTGCTCCTTCCCTGGTCTCCCATGACACCGAGTCACACAGCCATCTTCCTCCAGACACGTTCCCGGGCTCCTTTGTGGGCTGGGGTGAGGGTGGGTGCACCTGCTGGGTCCCACCCACTCCCTGTCAGGCTCCCACCCACTCCCTGCCAGGCTCCCACCCGCCTCCCAGCCCGCTCCCCAGCACAGCTGGACACCAGGTCTTCTAGGAGCGCACCCTTAGGGCAGAAGGAAGGGGGGCTTGCGCTGGGGAGGGGATGCGTTCTGGGGGAAGGACCGGTCAGTGAGGGGAGAACACGTCCTTGAGGATAGGACGCGTCCTTGCTGGGCTCGTCATAGGGATGGGAGCTTCCTGAGGGGCAGCGCGTCCCAGGGGAGCGCAACCTGATGGAGGCACCTGCTGGGGGGAGGGAGGCGCTTCCTAGAGGGCGGAGAGCACAGCCTAGGGGCAGGCACCTGCTGGGGGCGGGCTCTCGGTGGCCCCTCCCCGCCTGGGCTCCGTCCCCGGGCGCCCCCAGCCGGGACGCAGCTGCACCGCGCGCCGCTGGACGTTGCGTCACAGCTGGACCGCGCGCGACAGCTGGCCAGCCATGGGGACAAGAGCGCTGCGGTGCCCCCACTTTTTCCCACTACTGCTGCTGCTGCTGCTCTGCGGTAAGGGGACGCTGGGTCCGGCGCCGGGGCGCCCCAACCTCCTCGCGGGTCGTGGGATCCCCGCGGCCTTTGGCATCCCGCCTCTGCACCTGGCTGCTCCTCCTCCTCAGCACCGACCTGGGCCAGCCCGGCGCGCCGGGCTCTGGAGGAACTGTCCCCAGGATGCTCCAGCTGATGGTGACGGACCGGGCTTGGAAGGAAGGCGAAGGGTCTCCTGCTGGCTGTGCTTCGCCAGCGGGCTCGGGCAGAGCCCGCTGCTCCCTGCTGCGATGTCCCCGGCCTCGCTGTTCTGGGGCTGGGGACGGGCGGGCGTGTCCATCACCCTCCTCCCTGTGAGGCAGTGTGCTCCTGCGTGCACAGCCGGCGCAGGGGTGTGGATGAGACGACCAGAAGTGGGAGTGCTAGATCTTCCCTCCTGTGTCTGTCCTCCGAGGACAGTGTTTCAGTGTGAGTGTGTATCCCTGTGTCTGGAGCAACTGGCTGGAGGGGGCAGAGGGCGGCTTTCTGAGGTTTCTCCCCCCAGATCCTGGGAAGACACGCTGCTCACAAACTGGGAATGGATTGAATGAAATGCTTGTTTTGAAAAATCCTTCTAAGGAAATCATCCAAGAACCAGTGAGAGGGTATCCATGTTTGGGGAGGGCTTTCGTGGGAGGGCCTTCCTGAGCCTGGCCAGTTCTGAGAAGGGGAAGCCCTGGCCTGGGGGGACCACTGTCCCCTGGGTCCTTTGGGGTGCTCCCTTGTTCTCACTGGCCTCAGTTTCCCTGACTGTAAGATGTAAAGTTGGGCTTGTTTGCATTGCCACTGTCAGCTTCCATGACCTGGCATTTGGAAAAAGCTGCTTAGGCCCATTGGCATCTTGAACTCCAGGTTATCTTTCCAATGGTGATGTCTGGGGTGGATAAAGTATGACTTCATTTCATATTCAAGGGTTAGAGCCCTAGGGTTAGCTGGATTTTTGTGTTAGAGGAAAGAGTGATTGGTGGCTTCCAGAAATCAGGAGATCGGGAGCACACTTATACAGGATTTCAGCAAGCTTCAAATGCAAAGCCCTTGGATGAAGATTTTTTTTTTTATTTTAAATTTTTTTATTGGAGGATAATTACTTTAAAAGGTGCTGGTTTCTGCCATACAACAATGTGAATCAATCATAATTACATATACATCCCCTCCCTCTCCCCCTTCCCATTCCACCCCTCCAGGTCATCACAGAGCATGTATATACATATATGTATATACGCATATGGCATATGTATATATGTCAGTGTACATGTATATGTATATATGCATATGGCATATGTATATATGTCAGTGTACATGTATATGTATATATGCATATGGCATATGTATATATGTCAGTGTACATGTATATGTATATATGCATATGGCATATGTATATATGTCAGTGTACATGTATATATACATATATGTATATACGCATATGGCATATGTATATATGTCAGTGTACATGTATATATACATATATGTATATACGCATATGGCATATGTATATATGTCAGTGTACATGTATATATACATATATGTATATACGCATATGGCATATGTATATATGTCAGCGTACATGTATATGTATATACGCATATGGCATATGTATATATGTCAGCGTACATGTATATGTATATACGCATATGGCATATGTATATATGTCAGCGTACATGTATATGTATATACGCATATGGCATATGTATATATGTCAGCGTACATGTATATGCATATACGCATATGGCATATGTATATATGTCAGCGTACATGTATATGCATATACGCATATGGCATATGTATATATGTCAGCGTACATGTATATGCATATACGCATATGGCATATGTATATATGTCAGCGTACATGTATATGCATATACGCATATGGCATATGTATATATGTCAGCGTACATGTATATGCATATACGCATATGGCATATGTATATATGTCAGCGTACATGTATATGCATATACGCATATGGCATATGTATATATGTCAGCGTACATGTATATGCATATACGCATATGGCATATGTATATATGTCAGCGTACATGTATATGCATATACGCATATGGCATATGTATATATGTCAGCGTACATGTATATGCATATACGCATATGGCATATGTATATATGTCAGCGTACATGTATATGCATATACGCATATGGCATATGTATATATGTCAGCGTACATGTATATGCATATACGCATATGGCATATGTATATATGTCAGCGTACATGTATATGCATATACGCATATGGCATATGTATATATGTCAGCGTACATGTATATGCATATACGCATATGGCATATGTATATATGTCAGCGTACATGTATATGCATATACGCATATGGCATATGTATATATGTCAGCGTACATGTATATGCATATACGCATATGGCATATGTATATATGTCAGCGTACATGTATATGCATATACGCATATGGCATATGTATATATGTCAGCGTACATGTATATGCATATACGCATATGGCATATGTATATATGTCAGCGTACATGTATATGCATATACGCATATACGCATATGTATATATGTCAGCGTACATGTATATATGCATATACGCATATACGCATATGGCATATGTATATATGTCAGCGTACATGTATATATGCATATACGCATATACGCATATGGCATATGTATATATGTCAGCGTACATGTATATATGCATATACGCATATACGCATATGGCATATGTATATATGTCAGCGTACATGTATATATGCATATACGCATATACGCATATGGCATATGTATATATGTCAGCGTACATGTATATATGCATATACGCATATACGCATATGGCATATGTATATATGTCAGCGTACATGTATATATGCATATACGCATATACGCATATGGCATATGTATATATGTCAGCGTACATGTATATATGCATATACGCATATACGCATATGGCATATGTATATATGTCAGCGTACATGTATATATGCATATACGCATATACGCATATGGCATATGTATATATGTCAGCGTACATGTATATATGCATATACGCATATACGCATATGGCATATGTATATATGTCAGCGTACATGTATATGCATATACGCATATGGCATATGTATATATGTCAGCGTACATGTATATATGCATATACGCATATGGCATATGTATATATGTCAGCGTACATGTATATATGCATATACGCATATGGCATATGTATATATGTCAGCGTACATGTATATATGCATATACGTATATGGCATATGTATATATGTCAGCGTACATGTATATATGCATATATGTATATACGCATATGGCATATGTATATATGTCAGCGTACATGTATATATACATATATGTATATACGCATATGGCATATGTATATATGTCAGCGTACATGTATATGCATATACGCATATGGCATATGTATATATGTCAGCGTACATGTATATGCATATACGCATATGGCATATGTATATATGTCAGCGTACATGTATATGCATATACGCATATGGCATATGTATATATGTCAGCGTACATGTATATGCATATACGCATATGGCATATGTATATATGTCAGCGTACATGTATATGCATATACGCATATGGCATATGTATATATGTCAGCGTACATGTATATGCATATACGCATATGGCATATGTATATATGTCAGCGTACATGTATATGCATATACGCATATGGCATATGTATATATGTCAGCGTACATGTATATGCATATACGCATATGGCATATGTATATATGTCAGCGTACATGTATATGCATATACGCATATGGCATATGTATATATGTCAGCGTACATGTATATGCATATACGCATATGGCATATGTATATATGTCAGCGTACATGTATATGCATATACGCATATGGCATATGTATATATGTCAGCGCACATGTATATGCATATACGCATATGGCATATGTATATATGTCAGCGCACATGTATATGCATATACGCATATGGCATATGTATATATGTCAGCGCACATGTATATGCATATACGCATATGGCATATGTATATATGTCAGCGCACATGTATATGCATATACGCATATGGCATATGTATATATGTCAGCGCACATGTATATGCATATACGCATATGGCATATGTATATATGTCAGCGCACATGTATATGCATATACGCATATGGCATATGTATATATGTCAGCGCACATGTATATGCATATACGCATATGGCATATGTATATATGTCAGCGCACATGTATATGCATATACGCATATGGCATATGTATATATGTCAGCGCACATGTATATGCATATACGCATATGGCATATGTATATATGTCAGCGCACATGTATATGCATATACGCATATGGCATATGTATATATGTCAGCGCACATGTATATGCATATACGCATATGGCATATGTATATATGTCAGCGCACATGTATATGCATATACGCATATGGCATATGTATATATGTCAGCGCACATGTATATGCATATATGCATATACGCATATGGCATATGTATATATGTCAGCGTACATGTATATATGCATATATGCATATACGCATATGGCATATGTATATATGTCAGCGTACATGTATATATGCATATATGCATATACGCATATGGCATATGTATATATGTCAGCGTACATGTATATATGCATATATGCATATACGCATGTGGCATATGTATATATGTCAGCGTACATGTATATGTATATACGCATATGGCATATGTATATATGTCAGCGCACATGTATATGCATATACGCATATGGCATATGTATATATGTCAGCGCACATGTATATGCATATACGCATATGGCATATGTATATATGTCAGCGCACATGTATATGCATATACGCATATGGCATATGTATATATGTCAGCGTACATGTATATGCATATACGCATATACGCATATGGCATATGTATATATGTCAGCGTACATGTATATATGCATATATGCATATACGCATATGGCATATGTATATATGTCAGCGTACAT